AACCCCCACCCCAACACCAACAGAAGAAGAACCCCGACAAAACCACCTACCTATCGGCCCACCTTTGCCCGTGTCTGCGCGGTTCCGGCCGCGGGAGCCTGGGACCCCTGGGCCAGAGCGGCTGTGTTTAGAGTTTAGGCTTGGGCTTGGGGTGTGTGTCAGGTGTTTCGGTTTTGGGCGTGTTCAGGATCTATGTTTTGGGAGTGTTCAGGGTTCAGAGTTTTGGATGTTCCTCTGCAGTGTTCAACACCCCCGAACTAAGCCCTGAACACCCTCAAATCCTAAGCACCAAAACCCTGAAACCACCCCCCAGCCCTCAACCGTAAGCACCCCAAAACCCCAAACCCTAAACTTGCTGGGTACTTCTGGTTTTAAAATCCTTTCCTTTGGCACGCGGTGTTTTCTTTTGTTGAGCATGTTGGGCGAATCCGTTCCCGGGTGCGAATCCTGCTTGTTTTGGTGCCGCAAGTCCCGGCGCCAGTGCAGTGCGCGAATCCTTAGCGCGCGAATCGCGAATTCGCTGGCGGCAGTGTGCGAATCCTGGGTTATTGCTGGTTTTCGACTTCTTTTCCCACAAACCCCTCTGGGGTTGGGTTCTTCTTCAGGTTTCCCAACGGGCGGGCAGCGATACGGAATTGCCGCTGTGCGGCGCGACGAGTAAAGGCCTCCGAGGTCCGGGGAGGTTGGTCGCGGAGGGTGGGGCGGTTGCGGATGGTGGTCGCGTACGGCAACGGATTCAGTGCATGGTCGCGTGCGGCATGTTAGGTGCGGTGCGGGCACGCCGTGCGTTGCGGAGGTTAAGGCCTCCGAGTCTTTGGCGTTTGGTTGGGTTGGTCGCGGAACTGGTAGTGGCAGGACGGTGTGCGGCGCGGTGCGGTGTGGGTGGTGCAGGACAGGGAGGGTGGCTGCGAGGATGAGGTGAAGCAGTGTGGTGGGGGAGGACAGGAGGGTAAAGTGGTGGTGGCTAGGCAGGGTGGCCGCGAGCACAGGGTGCGGCGCGGTGTGGCGGGCACTGGCGTCTCCTATAGGGCCGCGAGGACGGGTGCGGCGCAGTGCGGCACGGGTGGTGCGGCACAGCGCGATGCGGCGCGGTGCGCTGGTACGGCGAGGCGGGGTGGAGCGCGGGTCGTGTACGGCGCATTGGGGTGTGGGTCGTGGCGGCGGCTACATAGGGAGGGTGACGGGGTGACGGGGTGCGGGGTGCGGCGCCGTGCGGGATGTGCGGTGCAGGTGTGCGGCAAAAAAAACCGCGAGTTCGGGGTGTGGCCTGGGTTGTGCAATGCAGGACAAGGAGGGCGGCCGCGAAAACGGGGTGCGGCGCGATGACGGGGTGTGGAGCGGTGGCGATGGGGTGCGGCGCTTGGCGGTGCAGCCATATAGGGAGGGTGGCCGCGAGGACGGGGTGCGGCGCGGTACGGAGCGGGTGGTGCACGACAGGGAGGGTGCCGCGAGCACGGGGTGCTCCCAGACGCTCGCATCTGTGGCAGCAGTGCGGAGATAAAGCTAACACACCGCTCTTTGCGAGAAGGCTTTTGGGTTCCCTGATTGACCTTGTAATGAAGTCAAATGCATTGTTGTTCTCATCATTGTTGTGATGGCCCGGTCGCCATGCCTGCTTTCTTCGCCTCCTTGTCCGCGTGTTTAGGCATCATCCTTCCCAGGGTTGCTAGATGCGTTTCTATCACCACCCATGATCTATCACCACCTACCTCAGCATCAACCTTGATATCATCTGTGAATTTCACTTCATCGTCCGTGCTCATCTATCCTCTTTCCATCTGCTAGCTTGTTGGTCATGGCTTGATTGGCAATCTTTGCATGACGCAGTTGCCAAGAGCTTAGAACCTCTCAACGTGCTGGCAAAGGCATTTATTTGCTGGGCTTCTTTCAGATTGCAGCAGCAAGGGCGGGTGGGGGGGAAATGTGGGTGAGACATTCGTGGCAACGGGGTTGGCGGCGGCTTCGATGGAGGAGGCAGTGGCGTTGGCGGTGTAGGCGGTAGGCGTAGCAGCGGTGGCGGTGACAGCTTTTTTTGATTTTTCGTCACAGAACAACTGTGAATCTATAAAGGATTTATCATATTCATCACCGATTCCGTGTCAGGCTGCGCCAACAGGTTGCTTCTGCAGCAGGCAGAGGCAATTCAGCTGTATATCGAATTATTTTTTTCGCCGAGCTTCACATTTGGCTTTCTAGACGAACTTGTTGAATGTTACCTTGCGCTTTAGCAGGGAGCAGCTTGTCAGTTTTGTTGCAGGGTTTACATCCGTGACATTGAGCTTTTTCTGTAGCATGGCCTAGGGTTGATTTGGGTTTAGATTCTATTGAAGCAGGCATGCAAGCAGATTCTGCAGTCTGCTCTCCACATCAAGCTGTGAGTGGCTTGGGCCCTCCAGCTGCATTTTGTCCCACCCTACCCATCCTTCACTTCTACGTGGAGGTATGGTATTCCTTGGGGGTGTGCGTGTCGTCCAAGGGCATTGGAGGCATATGGAAGTGTCGCTCCAGACACTCCTGTCCTCCATGCTTGTTTCGTGCCGGAGTTCCTGTTCGATGTCCCTTCATAAGGTGGAATCCCGTGTCTACCCAGGGCCTGACCAAGGCATCGAAGTGAGACCAATGTACACCTGTAACTGCCCGTAACTTTGTGTCAAATCAGAACCAGAGAGTTGTGTGGCCACTCGATGTGATGAAAAAGTCGGTCGCTAATCCACAGAGCGCCAGCAAAATACAAGCAAGCTCGAGCAGCTCAGCACGTGGCCGCTGAGCTCTGAAAGCACACATCTCAGATGTTGAAGACGATCCGAGGACTAGTTAGTCGGTTAGTCGCATGGCACGAAAAACATGATGAGCCGTCAGACGTTCGGCTGCCCCTGGTCCTCAAGGCCGCAACTTTCGCACCTGGGCATCTCCTGGGATGTGTATGACCGAATCACAAATCCAGGCCTTCCGAGACTCAGAAACCAGGCCACCATGCCTCTTGAATGCGCGCAGGTGAGTCCAACGCGGTCTTCATTCCAACTCGTATCCTCATCACGCGAGGTCAAACGCAGGCACATCTGCAGCTCTTGTCCCATGGCCAATGAAGATCTTCGATGCCGATTCCACGCGTTGCGGAAGGAGGATGAGTACTGCGAGTCCCCCGCTCATCCATGCAAGGTGCAGGGCCTACGTGCAAAAATGCTCGTTTGATCCACACCCTGGTGAGGAAGCGCATGACTGCAACGTGGGCGATCCGCAAGTGCAGCGGATGGCCGGATCCCGAGGCTGTTGGGCTGTCAGGCTGGCCTTGGTCTTTTCCGATGCATCAGACGTCCTCAGGAATGCCAGAATGGCTTTTGCATGCGGCGGCAGTGGTGCCCTGCTGAGAATGAGAATTGGGCCACAACCGAGGTACGCATGTTTCTGATTTCTGGGGAGCAAATCGCACGAGCATGCTGTGGCCATTCTACTGCCAGACGCACTATCTTGAGTTCGAGAAGGTGGAGCTGTGGTTCAAATCTTATGTGCACTACCATAAGTCTGGTGCCTGGCACGCCGTGGCATGTAGTGACTGTCAGTTGACTTCAAACTGCAGAAGTGGTACAGGTTTGGTCTTGATGTGACCACTGCAGATGAGAAAACCTCCATTCCCTACCCCCAGAGGCATTTGCTGAAGTTGCCATGACAACGGTGTTGCACTGTCGCTGCCTGCTAGGGGAGCCAATACATATCGGCTGCAAGATCTCATTCGCATGACGAATTACGCCCCAGAGGACGTTGCAAGGGAGAGCTTTGCACGCGCTATCTTGCAGGTGATGACCTTTGAAGGCAAGATTGCTGTTTATCTTGCTCTTCGTGGGCGTAGGAATTCGTAGAGCTGGGTGCGGTCATGGTTCTGAACGGTCTCTTCGACTGCAACCTTGACACCGAGTTGTGTGAGATGAAGGCCAGCCCAAATGCCGATGCTTAGAACTTTGTCGCGGGATGTTGAAAGGTGGAAACTGCCACAGTGGATACCAAGACTGGTTTCAACCATGTCTATGAGAATATCTACTATGAGGCACCTGCCTAGAGCCTACAACTTTGCCTTGGTCGTTGCTTTCTTACTTGCGTCAGAATGGTGTTCGCAAGCGGGACGTCTACCGGATGTATGGCATCAGGGTGGTAACCTTTGCCACGGGCACGTGCCTCAAACGCCCTCTTCATAAGGCTGCTGTCAAGTCCATCTGATGATGTGCTCTAAGACTCTAAGAAAGTTCAGGATTTGGTGGGAAGACAAAGTTCTCTCAAATTGCCCGCGGCATACCAGCCCTTCATGCTGCGACAAGAGACTCTCTAGTCTTTAGCAAGGTTCTGCAGCTATCTTCTGGCATTGCACTTCTTGGCACAGCTGAGTTGGCAGGGGCCCCTGCGCAGAAGGTGAAGCTGTTGGATCAGAGTCTCATTCGTCTGAGATTGCTGACTTCTGGCTGATGAACTGCGTTCCTGAACGTAAGTTCCGGCCTTGGCATGTATCTGCATGCTGAAGACATTCCAAAACCCAAAACATCAGGCATTACACCGACCAGAAGATCAAGCAAATGGATGCGGCCAGTGATGCCTAAGCTACCAGCGCCAGCATCTCCAACTTTTCATGATCAACAGAAGTAAGATCGGATGAAGGTGCTTCTTCGTCTGCATGCCTTGTGCTCAGGGCCTTGCCTTGTAATGTCTCACCTCATAGTAATTCCAGACCTACGTCAACGTCGAGTCTTGCTTGCCATGACGAGGATACCAGTGCCAAGGGATTTGTCTATACTTGCTCTTCACTCTTCGCTGCTGTGGAGTTCACTCGCAGCAGTTCTGTTGATGCGACATTTCGGCTTTTCGGTGCGTCAGAGCTTAGAGACCTGACTCTTCTGGTCGTTCTCCTGACGACTCGCTGGCTACTCGCCAGCATATCAACAGTCAACATCTCAAACGCTCTCACAGTCCACTTGAGCCCCAAGGTCTCGTTCCTGACCAAGTCATGTGAAATCAGGCTTCCAATGCTTCGCGTCGCGATAGCCCTCTGCACGCTTGCGAGGCACAGAGTCATTCGTGCAGTCCTTGATCTGCGGCTTGCATCAAGATTTGTGTAGGCACAGCCTTGCTGACGAGTCATGGCAGGACAGACTAGTAGAGCAATCAGGCAAGCACTGAAGTGAGCATTTCGCAGCGGTCTCCAGGACACGCCGATTTTGACATCTTTGTGGCAAGCGACATCCAGCAAGGACAACGATGCCATTGATAGGCCATGTGCTCAGCACAACCTGCAGGCTCGTTTCCCTTAGGACATAGATTTTGAGGCTTCTGGACAGCAGTGAGTCAGCAGTGTCCGCGCGATCCGGCGATGGACGCGGTCTTGCCTGGCCACTGGCCCTAGTGGAAGGAGTTCGTGTTAGCCGTGTCTTGTGCTTGGAGATGAGGTGGGCATGGGAGTTTCAGAATGAGTATGTCCTGGCATCCATCATGGTGAATGGTGGTGACGTCTTGTCTGAAGACGAGGATTGCAAGCTTTACCCAAGCTAAAGTTGTGTGGTAGATTTCTGGTGGACTGGCCGCAAAGGACGAAGCAGGCAAGCCTGCCTTCCACATGTGAGCTGCCCTGAGTATGCAGGGATTCCGGTGAGTCCGGGTTTGCTCCCACTGCCAAGTTCCCCCGTGCTTCGCAAGGCTCCGACAACTCCGACTGTGACAAGGATAGCCTGCTGCAAAAGGCCAAGGGTCTCGTGGAGGAGTGGAACGCAGATGGGCCGGTACCTAGAATGCATATAGAGCCAAATTCCCTCAGGAGGTCAAGAAGGCCAAAGAGCTGCGTGCAGCTGAGCGTGAGAAGGCCATTGGTTCTAACCATCTTGTTCTCCATCGGTTTGTCTCTCGCAGCAGGAGGATTTCGATGATGAGGACGAAGAAGAGTATCCTGTCAAAAATAGAATATGCAGGCCCATAGAGCCATTCTGATGTAAGCCAAGTCACCAGGAGATCTCGACATCTAGGAATTTCGGACTTGCCTTGCTTAGCGCCTGAGGCTTGGGGACGATGAATTCTGAGTATAGATGTCTCTCGCGCTGAATGGGCATGGTGCGAGCGTTAATGCTTTACGGAGGAGCCAGTCCAGAAGGACAAAAGTCTAGAGCAAAGAGGCCCCGCATTCAAGCGGCACGGAACATCTCTTATGTGGACTTGACACAGCACACTGCACAATCCTGTGCAGATGCGTCCTAAAATTTTGTGATCGGATCGCATCTGAGTGTGCGGAATTAGACACCGGAGAAAGCTTTGCAAGGCTTCCCAAAGGCTCTGCATGTGAGCTCCAAAGACCTGCCGAACGGTTGCAGCTTGCAAAACTAAAGGAGTGATGTGAAGAGATTTTTAGGCCTTTAGTTTCAAGAAAGGGCAGCGCGAACTGCATGCTCTGACCTTGCCGCTACGCTGTTCTTTCAGGGTAGCTAAGCCCCTCCAGCACAGCCCTCCGCCCCCCAAAGCACCGGCGAAGCAGACAGTCGGGAGCTGAGCGATGGCCGGTAGCCGCTAGCCGCTAGCCGTCCTAGCATTGAATATCCTGCTGTTTCACTCTAAGGGATGCCTTCTCCCGCAGATAAGCGCAAGATTGTGAAGAAGCGCACAAAGAAGTTTCCGCGCTTCCAAGCGGATCGCTTCAAGCGCATGAACCCCGCGTGGCGCAAGCCACGAGGCATCGACGGACGTGTGCGAAGACGCTTCAAGGGCTCCACTCTCTGCCCAAAGATTGGGTATGGCTCTGACAAGAAGACCAGGTTCCGCCTGAAGAGTGGCTTCTACAAGTTTTTGGTGCGCTGCCCGGCTGACCTGGAGATGCTGCTCATGCACAATGAGAAGTATGCGGTGGAGATTGCGCACAACGTTGGGGCCAAGAAGCGCAAGGAGATTGTCGAGCGCGCAGATCAGCTGCGCCTGTATGTGTGGGACTTAACACAGAATAGGCAGAACTTGTGGTGCTCCCTGCAAGGTATCAAGTGCTCGTCTTACTTCATCCGGTTTCGCAGTCAAGTATCCTCAGGTCACAAACCGGAATGCTCGCCTCAGAACGGAGGAGAACAACTGAGACGGCCAACTGGAAGCGAAAGAGGCATTGTGCAATTGATAGGGGAAAGCGTTGGGAAAAGACCTAGCGCTGCCAGGGCAAGTGCTTCGTGAACTATGTATTGTTCAGTGACCGGCAGAGGCGAATCAGCCGATCCTGCAGCAGCTGCTATGTTACTATGTCAGCAGCAGATTCAAGAACAAGATGCAAATGGCAGTCGCACATGTGGAAGCATCTTTCTTAGCACCCTGACAGCCATGAGTCACTCTGTTTTTTCTGAACTAAGTATGTTTTTGTGTGCCAGGGCTGAGCAGCCAAACAACATGAGAGCCCGTGCAGGGTCCAACCTGGCACAACAATTATTTCTGTAAGAGCGATCGTTTTGCCTTCCTCTCTGCGATGGCATACAAGATTCGCCCCTTGCCGTCTCTGCACCATGGCGTGCTGCCTCCAGAAGTTTGCGCTGGAATCTCAGAATCTTAGAGCCGAGGTCCCCAAACATGATTCCATACGAAAACCCATCGAGGCAAAGGCATTCTTCTCTACGACCACTGGCGACACGCTGAGGTCTTGCGAGTGCTGAAGAGCAAGTAAGCTGGCCAGATTTATGTATGTCATGGGCATCATGGGCAGGAATCATTTCGAGGAGCCGGCAAATGCAATGATGGCCAGGCCAGAAAGGTGCTCACAGGGTGAAGTTGCTGGAAGCTTGCACCAGAAGGAGCTCGTCGTTCCAGTCTGTCTTGCAGCCGACAAGATACCGCCCTTCTGGGGCCCAGTGCTCAGTTTCTGGAAATACCGATCGTGCAGGAGGATAGTGGTAAGAAGCTTTCAGCCTGGAAGGTCGACAGCGGCATGACGCGCGCAATGTGTACATACCATTCACAATACACCCAGCGCTCCCTTGATGCCTGGGGTACTGACCTTGGAAGCCTTCTAGAAGAGTGTGTGAGAATATTCGACCCGCGGAGGTCCTACCAATGAGCTGCGCGAGCTCTACAAGCAACAGGCCCGAGGGGCAGGCGCGCATCTTCGAGTCACCGAAGCGCTCCTCGCAACGCACAGACCTGGTCTTTCTCAGGCGCCAATGCCCCGAAGCCTCCTCTAAGCTCGGCGGAAGTCCTGGAAGTCTTAGAGACCTCAAGGAACGCCATGCAACTATGTAAGACTCGGCTGGACAGAGGTCACCACGACCCGCTCGTCCTATCCTGCATACGCGGGGCCCTTTTCAACCGCTGAAAAGTTGTGGGTTGTGGCTTTAGGCCTTCTTGTCATGAGCATCTCGCTTTCTTTCGAAGCAAGTTGCCAAGACGCCAAGGACCCCGAAGCAGCCAGTGCTGTGCTGGCAAAGAATCAAAAGCCAAGTGTGGTGACTGGATCGCACTAAGAGCACCTACAACTGAAATTAGTGGCTAATGGTTAAAGGACATATTGCTGCGATCCTGAGCATGCTGGCAGCTTTTGAACTCCCCTGCAGGCCGTCCATGTAGATCCTGGTGCCAAATTTATGGAAAGCCAGTCTGTGTTACACCGTGACTTCACTCGCTTTGATCGTCAGCAGCTGTCATGCCCTCAGAGGTTTCAGTGGAGCCAGACGTCCAGGTGGCAGTCTGCTTTGCAAATCGCGCTGCGAGGCGGAGGTGTCAGATGCAGGCGGCCCCCCCGCCTCGGGAAGCCAAGCTGTTCCGCTCCCAGTCGTAAGATAGCTATCAAGGGAAGTGACACGTGTTTTTCTCTGTGTGGAATCATACAGCTCAAGGCAGTACTCACTCGATGTGTTTTTTGTGTTTGGCTTGTTCGTGGGGCTTGATGGTGTCGAAACCATAGTGCCCTAGTGATTCTCTGCCTCCAGCAGGAGTGCGATATAGGCTGCACACTGAATTCCACAAACATGATATTTACTTGGTTGAGGGGAAGCCTCACGGCAACACATTTCTGAAAGATTCAGCCCTAGCTACCCGGCACGTTCCGCTTTCACCGCCCATGCCCTGTGCGCGAATCATCAGCAGAATTTGGAGTCCGTGCCTTTGCCTCCCATCCAGCCTCCCTTTCAATCTTGAACCTCAAGTGCGAATTCGCAGACGAATTCGCAGAAAAAGCGTGCGCCTACGATTCTGTCCCTCAACAGGCCTTGCAAGTTTGAAGGACCATGCATAGTGAAAAATGGAAGGGCAGATTTTACAGAGAGAGGAGCACCCACACTTGCGCCAGGTTCGAGCAGCACAGGTGTCACTCAGATCGGGGCAGAGGTTGCCAATGCTGCAGTGCCAAACATCAGCAATGTCACTATCAGCAGCAGCCTAAATCATGCGGTTCTTTGACTTAAAAACGACAAGATCATCCACAACTGCGGCCGTCACACCTGACGGAAGGAATCTTAAGAAAGATGAGTCAAACATCTTAGGGGAATGCCAGCTCGCGCATAGACCAGACCGCCGACTGAATCACCAGACTGGAGCACCTAAAAAGCACCAGGTCTCAGTGTTTGGGTTTTTGGGCTCGTAGGGGAACGCCTGCGTCTTTATATGCAGCAGCATCTCCTAGCACGGCGACCGCGGCTTGGATTGGTTTGAGCAGGCGATCTGCGCCACTCGCCGCTAGAAAATGGTACGCAGAGAGACGCGCTCTGCAGGCTTCATGCTTGTCCCAACACTCCCAACACGGAAGGCCAATTGGCATGTGGTCGGCATCGCCTCTGCCTACGGCTTGGGCGAGGGTGTCCGCGTAAAACTTTGGAGCCTGATCGTTGGTAGGTCTCCAAAAAGTGGCTTGGCAGTCCGAGGTTACTCCGCCAGCGAAGAAATCGTGCAGAGGGACTAACCTACCACATGATGCCACCAGCTATAGACAGCATCCTGCCCGTAACGGCCAACGGGCATGAGGAAGCGGCCATCCATCAGCTCTGTGAAAACTGAATCCGTACTGCAATGGTGAGCCACCATCCAGACACTCCGGGGTCAAGCTTGGTCAATCCGGCACCCAAGACAAACAGCCAAAGTTCCCTGGCTATGACCCCAATATCACCCCAACATACAACAGTAGTTGCCATTTTCTTTTTTCATGATCGCAACATAACGCCAATACATGCTCCAATATACTATATTCCATTATCCCTAAATGAAGCGCAGTCTTTTTTTTAATCCAGATCTAGGGTTATAAGGGGACCGACACGAAGATTTGGAAACAACATTTTGGGTTGGAGAACGATAGGCCACTCACCAGAAGCGATAGGTCGAAATTTCAAAACAACATTTTGGTAGGAAGGTTGTACTACCAGAGAACGAACAGGCCGTTCCATTACTACAGTTGTACTACCAGAGAACGAAAATCCGTCCGATTGCCGGAGACGGTCGTTCCAGTACCAACATTGTACTACCAGAGAACGAAAATCNNATCCATCTGGTTGCCGGAGACGGCGGTTCCAGTACTAAACTCGTACTACCAGAGAGAGAAAAAAGGACCGCCACCGAAGCTTGGAAAACAATAGGCCACTCACCAAAATCCAATGTACCAGGCCCACACTGGGTAACCACGGCAGATCCTTGCAGTCAGTAGCTTTGAAACACACTTTTTAATACACTGCGTGATGGACAAGGTGGGAGTACAACGTGAAGCAGGCGAGGCCCCAGAAGGATATGAACATGTATGTCAAGGCCTCAAGGCCTTGTAGGCCCTGTGGACCCTTCAGCCTTGCAGAACAGTGCCGGATACCCTTCATGATGTGCGTCACCAAGGCTTCCTTTGAGGGTGGGAACCTGTAGTCAAGGCAGTTTGGTTGTGAGGAAGTCCTGAGCCTTTCACTGTAGCGCCTTCAAGCTGCTCCTCAACGTCTTGTTTCCACTGAAAGGTGTCCAACATACGGAGGCACTTGAAAACACAGAAAAGATCATGAATAAGAAATGTACAGTAAAACCGAGAGAAAAAAAGCAGATCATGTTGAATTCCATCATACACAACCACGCAGCCTTGTAACATCACTTGTGCAAACTGTAATGCACGTGTCAGCGAGTGCATGCGGGTGCATCGCGCGAGTCAGCATCAACATTGTCATGGAGTCTCTGCTTTTGACCCTACGGAGTATACGAAAGAAACGCGATTAGGAGATTAAGCCCTATAAGTTCTTGTAACACTCCACATAGTCCCTCTTTCATACCCCTACCCCAACCCAAATGATATCTCGCAACATGAAACAACTGCGGTCCGTGGATGGTTTTAGGACAGGCATGAGTCCACCCGACTGCTCTCCTTACAGGCAAGATGCAGGACGTGTCTCGAGGCTTTTGCAAATCTTGGCGCCTTGCTAATTAAAAGCCTCGCTGAAGGCTCCCCGCTCAAGGCTAGGGCGAGTGCCGCTTCGACGAGGGTGGCCGGGAAGGGCATGACACGTTTGTGAGAACTTATTGACTTCGGCAACCCGTTGTGAACTGATACTGTTTGGAAAGGCTGATGATGAAAAATCGAGTGGCTCGCCTCAAATGTGCACGTGAACAACGTGAACAACCTCCTATCGTCTCCTATCAACAGTGCACGAACGACAAAGCTGAAAAGGTCCTGTAAAGCCTTGAGGAAACATCAATGAAACCTGTAGCAGGCATTTAAAAGCTAATACTCGTGCGCGCAAAGCGACGCATACCCTGTTGAGACCTACGCGAAGTTTGCACAAGCGTGAGAGGGATGAGTGATGAGGGTACCTCCTGTTGAGGGTTTTGACGTCACAATCTAGACCGCACCGCACGTTGTTATAGTTATTGTTGTAATACAAAACATAACAGCATACCAGAGCTACGGCTGGAAGTCTGGCGCGTGCAGAGTCACCGCAGCTGTGCCGACCCCCGTGGAGGGATTTGGTGGTGAGCCAGTCAAGCAACGCAAGCATTGTTACTCAAAGGAGATTTCGCGAATGTTGTTCTCGCTTTGGGGGCAGCAGGGTTGGGAGGGGAGAGTGTTGAAGGAGGAAACCAGGGCCCTGTCAAAATCGAAGCATATCCTAATCCCTGAACATTCTTAGGAGCACAGCTGGGAAAATCTCTACACCCCTTTACGCAGACGCCGGTCAGAGATATGAATCGATGTTTTGCAGGGTGCTTTGGCATGTTCCAATGCAAGGTGGGGTGTGGGTTGCAGGATGAGATGCTGCAGGCGGCAAACAGAAAGCTGGGGGAAAGTGGAGCTGGGCGGTGCCGGCATGAGATGGATCTGACTCATCAAGACCTCACAATTCTGTACTAAGGGCTCCGCCGCTTTGCCCGGACCAAGCAAGCCGATTTCAAGGTTGGATGCTAGGCTGTCCCACTCCGTTTTCTGGCCCCAGTCTCGTGACTGCATTGGTGAAGGTGTGACTCAGTACCAGAGAGATTACGCAAGACGATGAGGCCCATTTGGGTTGAAAGCACGCACCTTCATTTCTTTGGGCTGCTGTTGCTCGCCTCAACTGTATCCAGCAAAGCTTTGTCTTGCTGCCTGAGGCTTGGACAAGTGCGGAGCGTTTTAAGTCCTGCTAGGACACAGCTAAAGCTTGGGCCTTGCTAAGCAGGATCACCGCTCACGTTCGTCAAAGCAGCCATTTTGTGGGGTCTTGTGCGACTAAAGCTGGTCGTGCCGCCCCACCAACTGGAGGGTAACCTGTTGAAGGCTGTGTAACCCGCAGTTGTACTAGTAGCACCACCTTTTGCCCGCATTTGCGCGTGCAAAAAGTGTTTGATATGTCGACATGCCGACTGATGTTCTCGCAATTTCCGTCCTGCACTGCCTGAGCGTGATTGTGTTTGGTTTGACTTGGTGGCGAATTCGACGGCTCTAAGCATGTCCTAAAGCCAAGCGCGCAAGCAACAAGACAGCCGCACAAGTTTTGCTGGTAAGGCTGAACACACTGGTGACAGATTTTGACGGTCTCAGCTTTTCGCCACATTTTTCCTGATGTGCAGATGGCCGAACGCAGGAGCTCTGTATTTCTGACGTGCCAGGAAATGCCAAGGATCATGCAACAATAAGAAGCGCGTTGCTTGGTGGACCCTACTTTCTTGTTTGAGTTTAGTCTGGCCGTAAAGCCAGACAGTGCTGTTTAGGCTTGCTTCCTCGCGAGAATCCAGTGCAAGTGCGCTGCTTGCACTGATTGTGGATGTAGGGGAGCTATGCTGGGGGATGGGCCTATATGCATGCGGCAGACACCTTTGTTGATGTCTGCTGCCAAGCCTGGAAGACAGGTTGGGTTGTTGGAGAAGCGTAGGATGAATGCCACCATTTTGGTCTGACAGTTTTGCAACCACTAAAGCCGTCCAGACCTATGATTCTAGCTTCTTTCTGTGCTCGACGCCTGCGAGTCATCCTCAACTGTCAACAGGACCAAAGGCTCCAACAAGCTTGGCCCAACGAGCGGTTTCTTGGAACCGAAGGCTGAGCGTTTTCATTTGACACGACTGCTTGGTAGCTTCCATTCTTCAAGATTACCAAAGTCCCCGACTTCAAGACTGCACGTACACATGAAGCGTAATCAGCCTGCAGGTTGAGACCGACAGCCAAAGGGACTCATCTAGCGACAGCAATGTTGAACCTGGCGTAGCGCCACTGACACCACCCTTGCCCAGACATCGGACGGAGCCGGCCTGAGCACATGTTTTCCAGAAGTCCTCTTGTACTGAAATGAAGGTTAGGACATGACGAGCTCAGCGACCTGAGGCCAATCATCCCGTGATCAGTCCTGCCAACGGTGTCAATGCCCTCAGAAGGGAAGCAGCGGGTGATGCACAGCAAGGACATCGGTGCCACACGTTGCAAGTGTGTCTTCTCGATCTTGCGTGCAGGAGCAGACGGCCAGGTATTCAAGCGGTTAGAGGTGGTTTCCTAAATTGTACTGCGGGCCATTTGCAGCTATAGCCGTTTGAGAAGCTATTGGAAGGCTCTTGAAGAGGCGATGGCGTCAATGCAAAAGCGACAGGCCTTAGTGCTGCATGGTCTTGTGAGAAACTGCAGCCACATGAGTGACTGTATCTCGGGTTTGTTGATTGGCGTCTGTCGGCCCTGCGCTGCGCAAGATTTTCATAATCATTGGTGGCGTTGCGCTGCAAACTCAATGGGAAACTGGGTTTATTCAGGCCTTGAGTTGGGGAGGGGCCACTAATTTGGGTATATAGTATAGCATCCGTATGAATCCGTTACCCTGACCCCTAGACCATAAACGAATTCAACATGATGAGTTGGAGTCTTCACCCACTCCATCTACGTAATGAAAACTATCAATGACAACTTGAGATTGTTCTTTTCCCCGCAATGAAGATGGAAGAGAAAACCTATTGATTCGAAAAGATGCCAGTTTTCTGCCAGCTCGCATGTAGGATTTGATAGAATTTCGGCACTTCAGCAAAGTAAGTCAAGAGTAAAAAGATCTGAACCTCGGCGCATTACTTGACAACCACTATATTTGGACAAAGAGATCCAGGCACATAGGCTCTGGCTCTGGAGCTTTCTTGCGAGATCTTCCCGCCGGTAGACATGCAGAACTGCAACTGTATTGAAACAATAGGCTCATTCGCGAAAACTGACCAGCGCAACGCAGAAGAACCACTGTACTCATGCTTGTGTTTGTATAGCAAGAAATGTTAAGTATGCAGTACCAAGCCACGCATGCTTGGTAATTAATGTCACTGCTGAAGCTTTTCTCGCAGACTCTGGTAGAAAGTGGCCGCAAATTTGTGAGGGAGGGTGAGAGACAGGGAGGGAGAGAGAGAGGGTCTGGGATCCTCAGGAAGCGCCTTCAAGTCAGCTGGGTTTCTCTTTTAGCTTAGTTGCATGTCCTTATTAAGTAGAGACGAAAGCTTTTGTTCGGTTAAGAGGGGCCTGTCTCTATGGTAACCATGCTTGTTGGGTAGAGCTCACTGAACAGCACGTTCTACATGGACGAGGGAGTCGACGTTTCCTCTACGGTTTCATTCATCACAATCTTTGCTGTTCTTGTTGTTAGCTTCTCAAGCCTTTCTCAAGGCTTGTACATTTCTCGACCAGGGAAATACTTGAATGAGGAAATTCTGTATGTTCTACAGCACAAGTGGGACTGCGGAATCAACAGAAATAAAGATCTTTTCAAGAACGCAGCTCACTTCCAGATGGGGACTGGCTGTCAAAAGCGAAATCCATTAATTAGAAAGTCAAACAACAGTTGCACAGACTCATGTAGATTAGTTCTTCCTTGGGGGCCACAGGAAATCTGGACCAAAAATGTCACCCAATTATTTCTTCCTGTTACGAGCTGAAGGGGTAAAGGTTATCGCGACATGTGCTGCCTGTTGCAGGTCTGCTTGAAACGATGAAACGCGAATGCAGTTTGGGTACGCTTACCACAAAACACAGACTTCCACTGCCGAAGCAAATGGCTGGGATATCCAACTGGAAATGTAACACTTCCGGCCCCCAATACAGACTTGAGATGCGGACTGCTTCAACCGCATCTTGGCCATGGCAGGCGTCAGCAACACACGACAGCTTACGCTGTGCACTCTGCCATCCCTAATCTCCCACACGTGATGCGGATGGCTCTGAGGTGATTGCACAGGAACTATTGCTTAGTTGGCTCTTTCGATCCGTGTACCTTGCCTAACTCGGCATAAGTAGCAGCCTTGTGCAACCACAACTGAGCGGTAGAGAGAAGGTGCCCAGCCACCGCAACAACTCGTTTGTCAACCCAATCAACGGCCTCAGACCCGGACCGGTCCGCATGCTTGCTAGCATGATTCCCTGCTCGCGCGTCAGCCTTTCCATTGCCAATCCAGCACCAAGGGGCGCATCAGGGAAACTTCTTCCTGGAAAAGGTGAGCCTTCACTTTTTGCGACCCCAAGAATAAAGGCATACAACAAAGCTACTAACAACCCAAAAAACAACAACAATGCCGAAAACACAAGATTGTACAGCCATGCCATATCTGTGCGCTCCCTGCCACGGGGTCTTTTTTCAAGACATGCACGTCCCTTTATCCCAAAGCCTGTTTAGCCATGTGCTTGTGCTTTCTCCAAAACATCAAGGAGACTTGAAGCTGTCCAGATTTTGCAAAATCCCAGAACAATGAAGTCAATGAGGTCCTTTCTCGCTCAGTGCGGTTGTGGAGGGATCCAACAAATAAGATGGCAGATGTAACACAGGGCGCAGACATCTTACCCAGCTATCAAAATGCAGCGAAGGAACTGTTTTTGTATATTAGGCGGCCCTGGAGCAGAAGCATGAAGAAGGCGAGACCATCCGACGCGGCCAGCGTGAGCCCCAGAGATGTTTCCCACACTAACAGCAAGACTTCATCTGACTTGGGCAGGCTTGACTGCCTCTCGCAGAGGGTTTTTGAGGCTTCTTGCTGTTGCGCAGCCAGCACTGCCCCTACCCTACGCTGTCTTGAGGCCGAGAAATCGCAGCGCCAGGTCCAGGAAAAAACCGACGAGGCCACTGGAGTGCGACTGTATAGGAAGCGCAACACGCGAGAACTACGAATTCTGCAACAAACTCTTGTCTGAATCCACTGGACTTGACTGAAAAAAATGTAGGTAGCGACGCTGGATTCGATTATGTACAAGGGTTTGTTCGGGTGAACCACTACCGCCCAGCATTGCTCATGTAGCTTACACGTAGACGTGAATTCATATTAGACGGATGTTAATTTCAAATTAAACTTCAATGGATATTTCAACGCGCTTGCAATCGATTTCAATTGGTTTTCCAATAGATTTCATACACTGATAGTATTACTTTTTTCCCCCTTTTTTGGGTGCCGGATCATTCAAGTCAATGTTACGCGGGAAAGGGGGGCCGTCTCAGTTCTTTGCAATTCAATTCAAGCCATTACCTTCTCGGAAGTCATCAGGCCATCAGCAAGGCACGTGCGGCTTTTCAGAAGACCGCCTCAGACATGGAGCAAGAACGGTCCAATCTGATGTGCGTCATCAACCAGGCAAGGCCACGCGAGGCTTTTACCGAGGTTCCAGCCATTTGTTCCCAAGCTCGAGGTCAACCAGAATTTTGAGCATTTGTCGCGGGAGCTCTCTCAACTGACAGATGTGGTGGGCCGGATTCAGCAGGAACCTCCTTATGTGCTTTTATCCAGAAATCAGGTCACCCTCCAGCATCCTGCAAGTAGCTCAGCGGGATGTGCCAGGAGGTCGTCGATGTGCGGCAGCAGAAGGACGTCGAGATTTCTCAACGTGTCCAGCAGCTGGAGGACATGCCATAGCTGCCATAGCTCCAGCAGAGCCCTATCACTGTGCTGGGAGTACGCTTTCCAACTGTTGAGGAGCTGCAAGCGGGTCACCGTTTGGAGGTGCGCCAGTCCCAGTCAGCACCTCATCAAGTGCGAGGATGTGCGAGGCGCAAGTCCCTTTCCTGAGATGTGGCGAGTATTATGCCTGAGGCAGTGCGTCAACGTGCAGATTCTTGAGATGCAGCGTCAGCTTGCTCCGCTTGTGGAGAGCGAAAGAGCAAATGCCACCTTCGAGACGGAGGTGGTGACCTTTGCATTGGATGCTGTAGAACTGCAGAACTTTTGCTCCTCGCAATCTCTGGCCAGGTAAGGGCATACCTCGATGATCTCAGGCAGCTGGTCCATGACAGCGAGGCTGGGAAATGTTCCGAGCCAAAGCGGCATTGATGGCTTGGCCCCTTTCAGGTTCAATGGCAAAGCGTCGCAGATCGGGTTTCGCGACTCCAAAGTGAGGCTGGGAATTTTGGCAAGCGGGCGTGATGCTGTCTCCTGACAGACTTTCCTTTGAGGTGCCAGCCTGTGTCGCTGATGAAGTAAGGCGACATATACAAGTCGTTTCGCGCATCAAGGACTCCACCGGGGTTCGAGGGGAAGCTTGCTGCTTGACTGGTTCCTTGGGCAAGTTGGCGTAGGAGTAGTAGTATTTCAAGTGATGAAGCTTAGTGAAGCGCATTCCCCAAAACTACAAGGATTCGATTTTCCATAAGATTCCTGCGCGCAGCAAGACAGCCAGTAGGTTTTTTTGTTACCAAAGACGTTTGCTCAACGAACCTGGCTATGCGCCATGTTATCAAGCCAACACTCACGGTACAAGAGCTTGGTGTCTATGCCATTGGTAAGAAGCAGATCGGATGAAGAAAATGGAGGTTTGCATAATCAGCAGTTACAGCTCACATGGGTCCACAAACTCCACTATGTTCTGGCCAAACGGGATTTGTGCTGAACTTGAGACATGCACGCAGCTTCTTGCAAGACGGCATCCACTTGACTGGAAGCAGTTTTGTATTCCGTTCCTGGGCAACCATGTGCTGAAGCGGATGTGTCACCAGTTAACCAAGCCCGGGTTGAGCATGGGAACTTTGCTTTTCGGGATCTGTATTCGGGCTGTCGGCTCTGTGCATTGGGCATCACCAGGCAGACTCTTTGAAAGATTCCGATGATGCAGTGTGGGAGGAAGGCTTGAGTAAAAGCACGCAACAAGCTGAGGGCATGTTTCCAAGTCAGCCAAATCGAGGAGGATGGCCATGCAGAGCTCAGTGGCCATCCGCGCGATTTGCAGAGGCGAGTCCACGTTGCAGCATGAGCATACAACGCAACAAGACCTGCTGTATCTGCGCAGGCAAGAGCGAGACGTACCAAAGCCATCCCCTGGGCAGCTGCATCAGCTTAAGGTTCCTGATCCGCTCTGCATCGTTCAGCGACATAATCTTCTTCAGATGACATGTGTTTTTTTTTTTGAAGCCTGCGCAGGCCTCTGCTGTTCGAGAAAGGAGAGGCAGGGAACGACGCATGTGCCTGCTGTCAAACGTGCTGTCATATCATCGGCAAGCTGTGAGTAGTTGCGTGAGGCCTGCCTGCTGCGTGCAGTTGTGGCAAGTATCGTAAGTCTTTGCGAGGCTCGCTTGGGTCGCTCAGCTCGCTTCATGCCCAGGCAGGGGCAGAAACTGCTTTTTTTTCATTCAGAAGCTTTCGCTTCAAGCCTCGATTTTTTGATCCCACTTCCCTGCACTGTGCAGACCGCAGAAAGCCTGACTAATGTATGGAGGCTCCCTCTGATGAGTCTGCCCAGCGGTGGCTGGAAGGAGAGCACAGGAGCGAGTTGTCAAATCATGTTAAGCTTGTCAGCCTCTGTATGCATGCGGAGACTCAGGGATACTCAGGGTTACTCCTGCTGCTCTGGAGGAAAGCAAGGTTGGCCGAAAGGCTTCCTGAGGGACTTCCCGGATATGCTGCTCAAGATCGCGTAGATGCTCACTCCTTGCATGCGAGTTACTCAGCAAATGAATCCTATGGGTTGAGCACAAGGCCTCGGCACCCGAGCTTCCCGTCGAGCCCCCCAAGTGCTTTTCCCAGCTTGCCGATTGCGGCAGATGTTTCCACATCCTTATTACCCCACCTTCTCCTTGGGCTCCGTCGCTGGGCCGTGGCAGGATGAGCCTTGCTGGTCTTCGCCAGGCCAGCTTTAATCGCGCTCGGCGTGTGCCTTGCCAAAACCGCTCCCAGCAAGGCGGTGAAGGACGATCTGCGGGTCCTTCACAACGGCGACCAGCGGCACCTGCCTCATCTCCGGCACCTGCGTGAAGCATCTCCCATGTGCCCAAGAGGTTGCTGGAGCTGCTGCTCGGAGAGGCAGGCTGCTTTTGGCTTCCTCTGCGTGCACATCGCCAATGGAAATCTGCCAAGGAGCACGTTCTGCAAAGCGGTGATCTCTCTGGGTCCAGTAGGCATGCCGTCAGTTCTGCCTCAGCACTCGCAGCGTAAGAGTCATCCAGGGCGTGGCGGCCGCAGACTTGTCAGAAAGTAAAAGGTGACATCAGGTTCCTGCAACGGGCCTCAACCCGTGGGAGTGTCTTTGTGCTCACTCGCTGAATTGAATGGCTGGTTGCCTTGTATACAAGGCCCCAGACATGACAGTCGAGTTCTTGTGGGTTTAGGCGATTCTAGCCATGATTTGTTCCTACTCTCTCATACTAGACCGGCTGCTTTTCATATTCTCCACCGGGTGCAGATATTCGATAAGAGGTTGCTCTCCTGCCCGCCAGCCTGGATTGTTCGCACTGGCTCAAGTGCAGGTGGCTCTCGCAAGGCCCAGAAGCTGAGTCAGTTCCTCCTGCAGGCATGGCTGCCATGTGGCCTGGTTTTGCGACCTTCACGTACCCCATGTGCAGGTTTTCATGTGACTTGAGAACTCAGGCCATTTGTTTGGAAAATGAGTCCCCTTGTGAAACTGTGGCTAAAGCTTTTGGTTCGCAGGTCCACTACGGTCGTGGCTCCAAAAAAAGGCTGTGGCAACACCGTCTCACCCATCAGAAGCCCATCCGGGACATCCTTTTTCGGTTTGAAAATCGTGTGGCTCATGCCTTGTGCCTCAGCTCCTTCATCACGTTTCTTACGCATGTGCCGCCACCTGCTGGAAGCTGTGTTGGCTCCCTTGTTGTCCAGAAGCATGATGTGACAAGAGGCCTTGCAGGGTTGGTTTCAGGAGGTAGAGACTCGGATCATCTTACTGGACTCAATGACAGTTCCTTCTCAACAGACCAGGATTTTCACGCGAGCAATGCCTTGCAAGAAACAAGCACGGCATGAAGTAGTGCAGTCTGAAATCTGTGGGAATGGGTCTAAAGCGTCCCGCGGAAAATGTCGAAACAATAGATGTGCGCGACATTGATAACTGCAAGGTTCACGAGGGAGGGCCGTTTGGGAGAGTGTATACTTCCAATAGCTTCAGCATGCATCAGCGAAAGCGATTCAGGCCCCCGAGCCGGTCCACCGTCCTTTGAAGCCGAGGCCTCACAAGGCCTCACAAGGCCTCAGCTTTTGCGTCCCAGCCGACATCTGCTGCGAAAGCAGGACGAAGCTCTGCAGCGGAGGTTCTCGCCAGCAGCAGAGGTGTGGAACTTTGCAGTAGGGTTATTGTACGGGAAGTCTGATGCTGGCCGCTTCCAATTTCTTGACTAGCCAATGCTAGGTGCGGGAGAAAATTTGAGATGGACCAACCCGGCATGCTAATGTTGGCTTCTGTGGCTAGGCCATAGACGACTCCTGCTGTTATGCGCGAGTTCAGCCTGACACTTGGCAGACCGATCTGAAAAAGATCATTGAGAGCGGGCCCAGGCTTGATGGTCTGGTGCAGCAATGCAAGCAGAAGAGACATGAGGACAGCTTGATCACTTCGTCACGAAAAGCGAAGCCACACCAGCATCAGACATGCAGGAATGGTTCTGCCCACAGCATGCGGCTGGTCGTTGGAGCCTGGTCTGCCAAGATCTGCAAAGTGACGACTGATGTGTGTTTAGGTGTGATCCAAATGCAAGTCTGCCTCTGGCAGGCAGATCAAGAAACCAACCCCAAGAGAATGGCCTCGGAGGTTTAGATGCGTTTAGCCCTTGTAAGTCAGGAAGATCCTGGGAAGAGTGGACGGGCCAATCCCCAAGGCTGGTTGAAGGGCACATTTGCACATCTTGTGCACCCGGACATCCCATGATTGAGTCAGTAGTCAGTCAGGTGCAGCTTTCAACGCTGTTGCAAAAGGCCGGCGACTGGCAGCAAGTAGTAAGGCCTTGATGATCGTGTCCTTGCCAGCTCAGGCGGAAGTTCGCCAGCCAATTAGTCCGTTCTGAGGTGTATTGCGCTTTCTGGAACCATAAGCTTCCGCCGTGATAGGCTGCGGAGCCACGGGAAAAGGATTCTTCTGAGGACAGGACATTGCTTTCCTGCTCGATGAGAGAGTTCGCGCTGGGGTATGTCAATTTGTAGCAGGCCGGCCTGAAAGGCAGCAGGAAAATTCTTGGAAAGACCTGCCTGGAGGCTGTGGGCAGATTTGGGTTTCATCCCCGCAAGTGCACCTGAAATGCGTCATGCCTCATGACCGTTACGACGCAAAATGTTACGTAGTCGTAGTCGATCCACAAAGTCTTTTTTCAGCCCTTTTCCGAAGGCCCTGGAACCCAAGGAGCTTTCCCGCCGGCCTGGCTTGGTTGCGCAGCGCGCACGTGGTGCTCAGAGCTTCTACTTCTGAAGCTCCGGGTCCCAACACGTTTAAAGAGGGGCCTGTCAGTGATCGGCCTTTGAGAAGGGATTCAAGGTTGCTTGTCAGGTATAGATTTTTCCCTCTAATTCAAGCCGTGCAGCGGCTTCTTCGATTTTCCGTGCTTCTTCGATTTTCCGTGCCTATCTGCTTTTTTCTTTTCTTGTTGGCTTTGAGCTTTCCGTGACGTCGCGGCTTCTCGGGTTTGTCTTTCTCATGACGTTTTTCAGAATGTCAAGTACTATTCACACTTCTGCCGCTTCTGTTTAGTACCTCTTCTTAGAGCTTTTGTGGAAATCAAGAGCATGTGCAGATGTAGTCTCGTCTTGAAACTTTGCAGCAGAAATGCTTGTGTGTTCTAATTTTTTTCTCAAACCCAAGAGGGCGGGCCCCTGGATGACAATGTCCACTAGATGGGCATTAACTCCGCCGAGATTGCCACTACTGTCATGCCACCGCTGCGTCTGAACCAGCTGTATAAACATGGCTGCGCAAATTAGTCAAGCATTTCAGCAAAACGGGGCAGGGATTGGAGAACAAAAAAGCAGGGATGTGATGACCTTAAACGCCCACTGAATGAAAGTCCAAATTCCGTCACTGCCTGCTGTCAATTTGTTTAAGAACCATTTCCCACATGTCTTCAAACATTTGCTTCAAGTGCCAAATCTGGCGTTTGTCAAATCCTTGTCTACTTTTCTTGAGCCCCTTGCCATCTCTTGAAAGACCATGGCCACTTGTCTCAAATGCTTTCCCAACTGTGTCGAATCCTGCAAAAATCTCACCAAAAGTGTATCCCACAAAAAAGTCAAACAAACCAAGTTCGAAACGTAAGTGACATTTGTGACGGTTCTGCCGTCGTTCCCTTGGTGTGCTGGGCAATGCATACCTCAATGCTCTGCTTGAGGTGCCTAGTCAGGACATCTTTTGTAGAAGACTGTCAAGTACATAATTCGCCAAATACAGCTGGATTACGCAGGTTTCGTGCTGCGCATTGCCTGGCAGATAGTGGCAAATGTGTAGATCTGGTTGCTTTTGTCAGCTCTCCGGCATGTCGGCTAGCCCAATTGTTAGCCAACTGGTCAGTGATGCTGCTGGTCACCCCACCACCTTTACAGATCAAAAATAGCGGCGTCAGCGTTCTGCTGGAACTCTTGTCTTCATTGGCTGGCCTTAGATGTGCTGCGCGTGTTCTTGTATGGGTTTTTGCGTTCAGGGTTCGGACCCCATATGGTCCTCGCCAGCCCTCTGTAGAAGCCCCAAAGGCCTCACTTTTGTTGTCGACCGGAGCTGAGGCCAAGAACCTCTGGCCTTGCAATCTGAGTGCAAACCAGAAACTTAAGTTCGGCGTGGGTGCCAGGTCTTACGCGCCAGACGGTCGAGAGCTCGACGCAGGCTGCAGCACTTGATAGGGTGCATCATTGAGCTTTGTTGGCATGCTACAGGAGGACAGGGAGAACTTGTTAAGTGGTCCACAAGATCAGGCACGAGCAGAAGCATCCAAAAATGCTTGCACTGGCAAACAAACAACGTGATCTTTCAGGTGATTACTTCTGTTCTGAGACAATTGGAGGATGATCTGTGGCTGCTTGCCAGCATCGAGGGGATTGTTTTCTCTTGGTCCAAGTTTAACACATCTCATGTGTTCTTCTCTCTGGTGCTGGTTGTCATGGTGGCAGTGCTTTGAAGTGACTTGCGCTTGTCATAGGTGTAGTAACATAGCATTCGTAGCAGTAGAAGTACCGACAATGCAGCAGGAACAGCAGCAGGAACCGTAGCAGGATGGCGTTGCTGTCCTTGCTGCCACTTCTGCAACTAGTGGATGCTATTAGCAGTTTCTAATGCTTGCAATTTCTTGCAGCATTTTGGAGAACTTATCGTTTTGCGGACGTGTTGGCCTGCTAGGACAGAGAACTGTGGATAGGCGCTCGAGAGAGAGGTGTAATAAACGCACGTCTCTGCGTGGATTGTTGTGTGGGCCATGCGCCATCATTCAGTGCGATGTCCATCAGTCATTTGGTGTGAGTTGACATCACCAGCGTCATGCAAGGCAAGAAGTGCAGAGAGTGAAGCAACTTGACGATAGCCAGGACGACAGCCATCGGAAATTGGAATAAAACGCGATGCTGCGAGTAGAAACTTGCATTGAGCATGTGTCGTTGCGCCGCTCATTGCCCAACTTAGTAGTTGTCACGCCAAACTACCTCTCAAGCCTTTCCTATTGCGCATTAGGCTCTACAAAGGCATGGATAGAATGCCAACAGAGCGCCCTCAATGAGCAACTGTACGCTAAGCACGGGCCAAGCCTCAAGGACCAGGCTGTATGACAGCAACCCCACGCCATCCTAAATCTGAATTTAGGTTTTTGCCTAGCCAAGGGCAGTTCGTTGACTCTTTCCTGCCATGGTGTGGAGACATAGCGCCAGATTCAGTGAGCCCTCAGAAAGCATCCAGCGGACACAAGCAAATAGCAAATGTCACACAGGCTTCTGTGGCTTTGTCCTGCTCGGGGTCACGTCCTGAGAGTCATTTATGCAGACTGGCAAGCCGAAGTGAACGCAGTGAATGGAATGGTGAAACGCAAGCTGAGGCGGGGCTGAGAGCTTTCGTGGGGTTCAGGGAGCATGGCCAGCGCGGCCACCGAGGTCAGCTCGCTCGGAGGGTCTCAGTGGGGCTTGAGCCACGCTTTGTGAAAATGGGTCCTGCAGCGCAGGCTTCACCCCGGCAGCCATAGCCGAGCAGTCGGTGCAAGCTGACTTGGATTACGCCTACGCCTTGGTCTCCTGGAACCCTGAAAGTGTTGAACCACGTGTCAACACACGTCTGCTCTACTTGGGTCTCAGGTACTTCCTGTTGGACCTGCCTGTCCGCTGCGCTCCGATACCATGGCGCGGCATTGCAGCAAGGCTGCAGCGTGTCCCGAAGTGGCATCCAGGTTCGTGGAAACTTCGAGAAGGAGATGACCATGGTGATGGTAGTTGCTGCGGACAAAGCAGGTGCATCAGAACCAGCAAGATATTATCTTGAAAGCTTGGCCTGTTTTCTGGCTGCTTCCTGCAACCGTTGACAGTTCGCATTCGCATGCTGTCATTTGTTGTGACTGCGTGACTTTCAAAGGTGACTTTGCCACTCTCGCTCAGCAGATCGGAGCGGGTCTGTTCCTCAGCGACTCTGAGCTTGATAGCGAAAGAGGTTTGCCGGGTTTGTTCTTTGCTGTATGTTGCTGTACAGGTATCCGCCCAGATCCGCGGAAGCAGCGCAAGGTGGCTTGGCGGGTCTTGTTGCATCCAATTTTGAGCAGAAGTCTCAGGTGGGCAATGACCTTAGACTGCAGGCCGCCATTTTCAGGCATGTTTGTCCTGAAGTGCCTTCAGTGCTATTTGGTGCCTGTTGCTGCAGGGAGAGCGGCTCAAAAGTCTGCTGGACAACATGGAAACATCCGCTGACTTCCAGGCAGGTTGTCTCTTGACTCTGCACAGTGACGTTTTGTTATTACAGGTCCTCGAGGCCTACTTCGTCATGGAGCTACAGGCCCAGAAAATGGGGGCCCCAAGCGCGCGCACAGTTCGGGCCTTGGCCTCCCTTTTCATTCTGATTTGCTGGGCGAAGCATGTGTCAGCACTTTGAGTCGCCTTTTTGCTTCACTGCGATGTGCCCTCTGCGTGGCAGGTGGAGAAGATGACGAGTTGGCAGGCAAGGCAGTCTATCTCGGTGGTATTTGGTGGTACTGCCATTCTGTATTTTCCAACCTTGCAGCTGCCAGGGTGCCGGGATCCTTGCAGAGGCTGAAGGCATGATGGTGCCACCTCCCCCTGAAGGTCGGGTAGTCCCGGAGAAGAGCCCAGAAACACAGGCGTCCACTGTCCCACTCATTGGAGAGCCTTGCCAGGTGTAGATCCTGTAGCCTTGTCACGGTCGGCACCAGGTGCCGGCCCCTTCAGATTTCCACTTTGCTGAGAAGACGGGTGTCAGAGCATGTCTGCTGAAACCTTTGCTTTCTGTAGGTGTTGGCATGGTGAGGCCGACTGGGCATGCAGCAAGATATGTTGACAGGTTGACATACGTCCTGTTTGGACCAGGACTAGGCTGATTGCCCCAGTCACTGATCCCTGTCTTTACCGTGAAACGTACTTTAGGGCAGCAAGGGCCGCGTGTGCACGGCAGCTCGTTTGGAAACGTTCATCCCCATGCTGCATTGAATGTGAAGTTTTTGTGTGTGGCCAGTCAGCTCCGAGCACCACGTGTGCTGCCGTTTGCTGCTGCGCCCCCGGCTCTGCAACGGATGAGTAGTGTTGCTCAGCCAGGGTAGCTTTGTTGCGCGGCGCAGAACACGATTAATACAAACCTCATTTCATATGTTTTGCTGTTCGATAGATAGCCTGAGGAAGACAGCTTCCAGGGAGTGCCAGGGACGGAGATGCTCGAGGCGAGAATCGGTGACGTGAACAGAAAGGGTCTACAGCGCTAGCGCTGGTTAAGAAAATACCTTTATGGGCCCAGGGTAGTCTCGTTTTCCTTTTTTGAAGCGCATGTAGCTTTGCGTTTATTAGGGTTCCACGGCAATCAGAGTAGTCTGGTTTTCTTGAGTGTGTTTTCTTATTCTGCAATTACTCCTGGGCCGAAAACATTTTCTTATTCAGCAGGGCTTTGGCCCAGGAGGCCTGGCAGGCCTGGAGGCCTTGGAAGGTGCTGGGATGCTCTGGAGGCCACCCCGTGCGGGCCTGCACCGGAACAAGCCCATAATATGGCCCCAGCATGACCTTATTGGTGGGTTAGCAGCCCGCGCCGGGAAAAGTCCATAACGTGGCCCCAAAGCGGTGTAGTCAGAAATCGTTGGTTTCTGAGCTCCTGGAGATACGCAATATTCAGGATTCAGAGGTTCCTGGCTCTGGTTCTAATACAAAGGAGCTTAATGGAAAGGGCTTCTATTTGACAGGCCCTTCTGGACGGGAGTGTTTTCTGGGATTTGCAAGGCCAAAATTAGAAAATGGTCTCGTTTTCTTATTTTAGTAGCGCGTGTTGCTTTGTGACATTGGGGGTTTCGGAGCCGAACCCAGACTCTCATTTTCTTAATCCAATGTTTTCTTAAGTAGTGCTATCGCTGTATCAAATTTGCACGGAGCGCAAGTTGTAGGTAGAGGGCGGGAAAGGGTGGACGGAAATCCTCGGAAATGAAAGGCGAAGTACACAAAACTGGTGGAGGAGGCGACTGCCCCTGCTCTGCTTGATGCAAGCGGTGGCTGATCCAACTTCTCTGCATCATGCCAGCACCGGGAGCTGGTGTCTTTCGGTCAAAAGTATGCCGAGTTTGATCAAGCTGGGAAGGAGGCCGAGTTGCGCTCCATGCAACTCTGGGTGCATATGGCCTGTTTTCCAGTTCTACCTGGACCGCATGACGGACATCACGTCGGTGTTCTCAGGGCATGCTGCGCATCCTTACGCGCAGTGTGTTTGTAAAAATGGCCTCCCGAGGCAACGCTGGCATGACGTCCTGGATGAAGCGAGGCCGGATGCATCAGTGCTGGCTGGGACATGCGGGGACCTTCTGTTTTCTTGGCTGGAGGCCCAGACGCCGAGCACCTAAGCATCGTTGTAGGATGATACCAAGTACAAATGCCCAGAAGTGCCAAACTAGTGGGCTGAGCTAATGGGTGTGAAGATCCCACCTGCAATCACCCATTCGTGTGAACAGGAGCTATGACATCAGGCCCGTGCGTGGCTTTGAAGCTTACTCCCAGGAACTCACCGGGGATGTCAAGCGCAGACATGAGCTCACATGCTTCTTTGGTGGCTTTCTTCATTCTGCTTTAGGAGTATCTGAGCCAGTCAGGGCTCACTCCCAGAGGCTACCGGGAACTGGCCACTTGGCAGCCCAGCTCTTCGAAGAGCACCTAAGTCGCATGGCGTCGCATGGCCACTTTGGCATTTGCGAGGTTGACGGCGTGCATGCACTTCTTCGGGAGAAGGCTTGCTGCCCGTAACGCGCACTTCAGCTTCCCCAAGAGCACATCTTGTTTTGCCCGTTATGCAGTTTAGTGGAGGCTGGTTGAAACTATGCAGCTTGAGCAAGACGTTCAGCAACTTCCTGAGAGTGCGGGGAGGCATAGTTGCAGTGGGCTTAGCCCTTGTACATAGTCATGGCTTTAGATGTGTCTGTCCATGGGGTCAACTGGTCCCTGTTTGCACATTGGTATTAGAAAAAAGGCAGCTGCCACTGTCTCAGTGAGACAGACCGACTTTGGGCTTGGTCTGGCCAGGGGCTTCAGCCATAGGAACCATGTCGTTTGCTCCTTGGCACCCTGCATCAAGCTGTGATGCCTCCCACACCGGCAGACTGCCTTAGCGCAAGGCTGGCACTGACAAATAGATTTCGGTCACGAGGCGCCATGCCAAATCTCACTGCCAGGAACCATGGCTGCAGATTTGCTGCAGGCGTTCGCTGTGCCAATAGAGGCTAGCCCAATGTGCTATAAACTATGAAATTATTTATAGTATTATCAAGTTTTGCAATGGATGTCTTTTCAGGTTCTCCCCGCCAGCCGCCAGCGCCCAAGCCGCGTGTTGCTGGACATCCACAAGCATGCAAAACGTGCAGGTCAAATTGCCAGAACGGCATGCGCGAAGCCGAACTAAACTCAGAGAGTTTGCAGCCAGAGTGGCAGTTGCTGAAGCATGTGCCAGCTGAGGCAAATGCGAACTGCATCGCCGGCTGAGGCGTGGGTGTGGGCTAAGCAGGACCAGCTCATGCTGCATGGGTTTCTTGCTGTCTGTAAGGCGCTGAGTTCCTGGCGGCTCGCAGGGCTCAGCGCCGGCGCCGCTGCAGCTGCTCGGCAAGGGCTCGGTATTCGTTTGTCTTGAGCCTGTTTACATTCCCAATGTTGATGTCTAGGCTGTTAAGTATGCTGCTGGAGAGTTTCTTGGTTGCCCGGTGCCGACTAGACAGCACTGCACGGCGGCTGGTGACGTACCTTCACAGGAATCCGATTCCGATTAGACATTCTGTCCTCTGGACCCTGCATGATGGCCGGTTGTGTTTTCACTGGGATCCGGCTAGACACTGTGCCCCTTTGACCCTGCATGTTGGCTGCATGTTCGGGCGTCCAATTTGTGATAAAAGCATTAAAATGCTGCCTTGATAGCATTGACGCCGACATGGTGCAAGGTATTTCTTGCTGGCCGCAGACAAAGGACTGGTTGTTGTCCTCTTCGGAAGGAGTTTTAGGGGTTTCAGGAAAGGTTTAAGCTCAGATTAGAGATTGGGATGTTCAGCTTCGAAACACCAATGCTGTTGAGGTTGCATGTAATTCTGCAATATGAAGTAGGCCGGATCGGAGCCGGCTTTCCGTCACGTGATTTCATTTTAGGTGCTGCGCGGTCAAATTTTGATTGTCTTTAGACGAGCCCTGTGTCAAAAGTCTCCAGTGGTGGGTTGCGCGGCATGCCGCCTGTTTGGGAAGTTCTACGGCATGAAGGTCCAAATGTTTCTCTGCTTTCGCTGGGCTGCTTGCCTGTTCATGCAAGCCACTGATGAGGTGAGGTGACTAAATGTCAGCAACATTCACTAGCCCAACTTTCTAATGCTGGCGTGCTGCGATGTGCTGAATGTGGCTCTTCATTCAACTAACCTGCAGGATGTCAACACGAGCCAGGCGGACAGCGCGAGCTGCCAAGGACCCTCAAATTTGTCCATGCTGGTGCGGAATTGCCCGCTGACTTGAGATCGTCACGAATAGTTTTGAAGTCAAGGTTCGATTGGTCACACGTGTCAAGCAGTGGGCTCCTAGTGCAAGGCCAGGAAAATCCTTTACAGGGAGGATGGCCGCAAGAATGCCACGGGCTTGGTGCGAGAAGCCACAAGTGAATGCGATTGGATGGAACCTTTCAGCTTAGCCACAGTTCCCCTTCGCGCGCAGTTGATGCGCGGCATTGAGAAGCTTGCGGAGACGGTGGCAGTCACCCTTGGCCCAAGAGGGCGGAATGTTTTGTTGGACAAGGCAGCTGAGCTTCGTCATGTGATCATGTCAGGATGAGCTACGCTAGGTAGCTTCATTTGCAACTGGGATGAAGGATTCGTTGGCTTGAAGGGATGGGAATGAAAACGGAGCCATCCGCAGTTGTGTATGAAAGCCCAACCCTGCTTATCCAAGATTTGGCATTCTGTCATGAGCTTGGATGCTCTTTGATGCAGTTGGCTCTGGTTGGCCACCGGAAAAGGGTGAGCTGCTTGCGCTCCCACCAACTTAATTTCAAAGAGCCTCATAGCTCAGAAAGAGTACCTGCACTTCTCTGCGTGCAAACGATGCGGACATGGGTCATCGCCATCGCTGCTTCCCCTTGTGCATGTTTGTGCAGGGTGAGTTCTCCGCTCCGCAGATTGTCAACGACGGTTCCAACCTGGTTTGCTTTGGCTCAGAAAACATGAGCAATGAGTCTTTGTTCCTCGAGGCGTCACCATTGCTAAAGAGATTGAGCTGGAGGACCAGGCGCAGGGTTGTTGAAACACCAAAGTATAAACGGATCATGAAAGGCTGTTCAATTTGGACACTGGCATTGAGGGGTGGCATGTCGTCGAAAGCAGTACGTACTGTCGCGCCACGGAGCTCACATTCTGCAATGTGCCTTGCCAGGTTGAGAATACCGGCGTCCAGTTGATCAGGCAGGCGTCAGCGAAGACAAATGACGTGGCAGGGGATGGTACCACGCCAGGGTCTGAGTACAGTCGCAATCTAGCATTAAGCTGTAAAAGGCCTCGTCCACAGACATGCCAGAACTTAGGACTGCGACCATCCTCGCGCATGCAATGGTGAAAAGTGGGATGAAGCAGCTTGCAACTGCCCAAATGGCACACGAGGCCGATGAGCACGGCCTTTGTGCATCTGTTTTGAGGTCGGCGGAGCTAATCCCGTGCAGATCAAATCTGGCATGGAGAAGGCATGGCACAGCCATGGCACGTGGATTGAAGTGAACTGATCCCCTGTCTCCCAGAAGCTGGAAAGGCGGCAGCATTTATTGTCGATCAAATCAAGGACATGGCGCCGGACTAAGTCAATCATCAGCTTTGCCTGCATGCCTTTGTATGCCTCTGCGCAAATGAGCCGCATGTGACCAAGTGACCCATTGCACATGCCTTTTTGCGTTTTACATCAGATTCTAGAGGCTGCACCAGTGAGCGACAAAGACATGGACAAGATTGAACAGGCACTGGGAAACGGGGGGATGCCTGGATGATTGGGCGTTGGCCACCCCGGAGCGATCTGCTTCGATCTGCTTCATTGTGCGAGGTGGGAGCCATCTCCGCTGGCGGGGATGATGAGGCTCATCCTTTCAGCTATTTGCTGCCTGAGCTGTAAACTTGATTCTAGCAGAAAGTGAGCAACCAGAAGCAGATCTGTTTGTGCTGTTCATTTCAGCAGCAGGCTGGGAAGATGATCGCAGATGCCATGGCCAAGGCGCTACCAACGTCAGGAGAAAAGCTACTATTGTTCTACAAGCATTTCAGCAGCTCCTGAATCTTGAAGGTTGGTGGCAGCGGAGTAATCTCACTGGAGGAGCTGGCAACTTAGACATCTTAATATGCTTGCGTTTCGGCGGCGCTTATGTGCGTGGTATTGCCTTCGAAGTGCAGGTCGCAGTCCACAGACACCGAAGTGGAGCTCACGGAGGGTATGAACTTGGATAAGGCAACTTTTGGGGATTCTTTGATTTTGATTTGGGTAATGCTGTGGATCAACAACATTGCCCAGGATTCAACGAACACGCATTCCAGTATCTAATCCTGTTGAGCGCGATTGGCCAAACCGACAGTGTCACTGGACTGCAAAAAATTCGTGTCAAAAACAGGGTGGGCATTCTTCTAACAGAAGCAATGCCATAGCAGCAGACTTCTCGAGGAAGCAAAACAGACTGCTGAAGCCGAGCGTTCAAAGAAGCAGAAACTCAGAGGGCGGAAAGACAGAAAAACAGCTCAGCACTCTGGATACAGAGTTGCACTGAATTCTGCTACTGCCAGCCGCAAAGCAAGAATCCAAGGCCCAGAGGGTCTGAGCAACGCAGTGAGGGCCATGCTCTGTTGCGCTGAGGATGGGGGCAGAAGGAGGGTGAACAGCGTCTCATGGTGCGGGAACTTCTCTTTCGGCCAGTGCCGAGTTGCACCGAAATGCAGCAAAACACAACATGACAAAGCAAATTGGAGACTTGCAACTATCCAAGCAAGGTCGCCTACACTTGCGAGAGCACCAGGAAATCGGGTAAATCTCTTGAAGGTGTCTCACGAAAAGGAAACAACGAAGAACACACAGCATCAGCAAAGGCATCACATCTGAAAGCTAAGGAAGACCCGCTAAATCGACAGAGACAAAGATTGTCCTCAGGAAAAATCAACCGTGCCAGATTTTCGTTTAACACTCCATGGACAAGTTCGGGCAAGGACGGGTACCAAATGGATTGCCTCTGTACAAGAGCCGACTATCCCAGATTTGTCAGTGTTGTTGAAGCAGAGAACCACACATGACAATGGTGGGCTAATCTTCTAATCCTTTCGACGTGTATCTGACTAGGACGAGTGGGAGCACGCATAAAATCAGCATAGCTGCATTTGTTATCTATAGTTTTGCCTTATGCTGTTTGTTTGCTATGCATTTGAATGAAGACGGGACATGATGGGACCTTTTGCACTTTCTGTTGGGATTATGGTGATGTGGTAGGTAGCATGTGTTTTTGCCCATGTGATCTGCCCGCAACATTCACGAACTGTCCCAAACAGATGCCAAGAAATGCAAGCTAGCCTCTGGTTGAGCGTGTGTGTGCTCAAAGTTGCGTATTCTAGCTTGCAAACATCGTGGAAGCGGACCATCTGGAACGACCAAAACGATATGGATTTCTCGTAGAGTCAGAAAAGGATATGGGATGTGAGACAGCTGTGGATTTCCCAGTCGGACGTTTGAGGAATGAATAACATCATGAACTATTCACGAAGGCTAGCGGAGCTAGGCTTGAGTTTAGTCTTGCTTAGCAGTAGTAGCTGTCAAGGCCTGGAAAACGACGGATCGTGTGATA